ATAATCCCCATTATATGGCCTTATGATGTTGTTATGCATAAGTAGCCATTTGAGAATTTTCGAACCCTTTCTAATTTTGAATAAACTAGTGTCGGTTATAGCCTAGTACGTAACCCACGAGAAGTTGGGCTTCTTAAGGGTGGTAGATTAGGGGTAGGGGCCGAGTGGCCTAGTCGAGTATTAGGGTTTCTACCATATAAATATGTATGTTCGTTGTTAGTGTCGTTTATCGAATTAATAAGAAAAGATCTTTCAACGCCAAACTCGTTTTCTTGCTTGTGAGTTACAAGCAAAACCCTAACCCGATAGCAACGAGTTGCTATCACAAATTTCCATTAATGAAATCTACACAATAAATAAAAGCCAAATGAGAAAACATGAAGCCTCATTTCAAATTTCCTGCATCCAGAGTGAAAGTAGGAAGGACATTTTGGTCTTCACAATTACTTTTTTTATTCATTAAAAAGACACTTACTAGGATTCGAACCATGACCACTTTAAAGAAAAGCAAAGATCATAACCAATCACACTAAGTACATTTGTTGTTTCTTATTAAATTAAAAACATATAATTGCAGAGAGGAAAAAACCTTTCCCTCATTTCAAATTCCCTGCTCCAGGAGCGTTTGTAGGAAGGGTAGAATAGGGAGTGTCAATTTTTTTCTTTTTCCTCTATGGAACGGGCTAACTTACCGTACACATGCGGATTTAAACGGGTCCAGGAGTGTCAATTTTTTTTCTTTAAGTCCTTTTATTTTTCCGTGGTGGTAAAATATATATGAAAAGGCAAAAACAATACTCCTCTTTATTGCTAAAAAGAAAAAATTTAACAATAAACTAATGCATGGATTATAATGGGCTAACCGCTAATCGTAAAATAAAAGAGTTGAATGGGCCTGACCTACACGGGATTTGCCCATCAATTAAAACAAATGAACATCATGGGTTTGTCATTCTAAAACAAGCTATTTTCTCTAGCATAATATATATTATGCTATTATTTTATATCTCAGTGGCTAAAATATAATGTATTTTAAAGTTATTCAATGGTTCAACCTCGACCAACCCAATTAGTCCAATTTTTATCATTTCAAATATATATTATGTAATTATTTGATATCATAATGATTAAATTATAGTGTATATTATAGGGAATCGTTTGGTATTGTTAGTAAAAAACTAAACAGAAGATCTATTTGATTATTTTTAACATTAAAACGATCCTAAACATTTTCAGTTTCCTTTCGAAATTCTATAGTTTTAGAGATTGGCATGGGTCGGTCAAACATGCTGAATTTCAAGTTTTGGCCCGTTTTGATCAAGTCTAATTTATAATCACATGGTTCCCCGATACCCGATAAAAATCTCATTCCAAACCAGTTTGGCAGGTGAGTCCGTGTTTACCACCATTTTCTAGGGATACAGAAACGGTGGTTCCTATCCCAAATCGTGATGTTCATTCTTGATTTCTTTAGATTTTATCATGGCTTGGCAAAAAACCAGAAACCACAATGATGACAAGATGAAAGTTTTATAAAGCAAATTAATCGCCCAACGGACAGTGTAAAAGTTAGCAACGATTGTGAGATGCTCATTTCCCGAAAACCTGCGGGATAGACGATTTTTTATTCGATTTTTTGGAATTCGGTTTCCATAAAACTTACTCCACCTCATCATATTACCAGAAATAATATTGTTTCACAAGGTAACAGATACTTTATTTTGGTTCATAAGACTGATTTTTGATTCGTTGCATCATTCATGTCTCTTTCCTACTAAAATTCACTATTTTTATCACATGTTTGCAAAAAAAAAAAAAAACTACACAAGCTATACACCCCATTATATTATCAAATTTCATACCTCACATTCCTCCGGCCAAATGGTCGGGGCCCACGCTAGTAACAAATATGCATGAGAGCTAGCTAATCATTCGTTTAATAAAGAAAAGGTGAATGGGGAGAGTTGGCTTCCACCAACAACATTGTACTTTTGCTCAACACGTGTAGTCTTTAGTTCATGCAGCAAATTAAATGCCCTTGAGACGGTAAGAATTCCTCCCATAATATAATAGAGTCGCCTGGTTCTGCACCGTATTATGATTGACATGTGACGATGACCACATATCTGGGCTGCGCTCCTAAGCAAAACTGTTTGGACAGATGCAAAACGTGATTCCAAGACCCACTATCGATCAGAAGTTGCAACGGGCCAAGTGCGGTTGAAGGAGGCTGTTGCAAAATCTCCCCTATTTGCCATGCATGCACGCATCATCTTACCCAATAAAATGCAAGGATCGACTGGCCTTTACGTGATGCCTAGACCCACCGGGTCGGAAGTTGCAATCGGCCAATTGCTGTTGAAGGTGGCTGTTACAAATATTTCTCTATTCGCCATGCATGGCATCATCTGTACTAGAATGGACGATAATGATGAGACATGCAGATCGTCTAATATGCCTAAGCTTCTTCTTTTTTCACTGCTCCTCCTCCGTCCCTATAAATAGGCTGCATGCTGCTCTCTCTAGTCTTTGCCCCTTCTTTTCTCCTTCTCCCCTCCTTGCTCAACTCTCTTGCTTACCAAAAACACAAAATGTCCACGCCCGACACCCACAGAGAAGGTTCCCACTCGAATGATCCCTCCGACGCAGTCGCCATGGGGGTCGTGTTGGGAATCTTGGTGGTGGTAGTAGGATCCGTGGCCTTCGGGCTCTGGCTGCGCACCTGGTGGAACAAGCCACGCGCCCTGCCCCGTCGCGTCCGCGACACGCTCCCTCTGGGACGGTTCTCGGGAGAGCAGCAGGCGGGACTGTCGTCGCCCGACTGTCCCGTCTGCCTCGAGAACTTCACAGAGGGAGAGGAGTACCGACTCCTGCCCCAGTGCGGCCACGCCTTCCACCGGGCCTGCGTCGACCGCTGGTTCGACACCCACCCCACCTGCCCCGTCTGCCGCCACCACGTCGTCGCCCACGTCCCGGCCCCACCCGCCCCCGCCCCCGCCCCTGCTCCTGTCGCCGCCGCGCCCGCACCCTCCCCTGCTCCTGTCGCCGCCGCACCCGCCCCCGCCACCGCCCCTCCCCCTGTCGCCGCCGCACCCGTTTCCGCCCCCTCCCCCGTCGCCGCCGCACCAGCACCCGCTCCTGCCCCCGTCGCCGAGGAAGTTGAGATGGCGGCGAGAGGGAACGACGGGGAGGAGGAGGAGTAGTTGCCCCTAGGTTTTTTTTTTTTTGTCGTATTATAATAAACCATGTGTAATGTATGTGTGTAGAAATTCATATTTCAAATGTACTCTCTAGTACTGTACGTTGTATTTTTACTTCATTTAATTAATTAATCGAAGAAGAGAATAAATCAGAAAGCTTGGTGAAATTTAATTGGGCTTCCTCTTAGTAATATTTGTGTCTTGTATGGGCTGACAATGAGAAAACATGGGCCAACGTCTCGCGTGTCACATAAGCCCAAACTTTGCAGGAATCGTAAGAGATTGGACCAAAAATATATTTATTAATAAATTCTTTTTGCTGCCACGTTTCAAAACAAGCAGACACAATAAACATCTATGGACCACTACGGTCTACGGGCATTTTATCGAACACCATCAGGGCATTGCGTCAGATCCATTCACGGGAATGGGATGACGAATTGACGATGCTCTTCTCCGTATCAGTCAGAGCTGCTTCGAAGATAGAACGCGTCAGGCTTCTCGTTCCCAGTTCTAACACTATCTGGCCGCCGATCTCTCTGCCGGCGAATTAAGAACGGAAAATTGGGAATGTAATATAACGATTTGGGGATTCTTAGAATTCAAAAAAATTGGTGCAAATTTGAACATGGAACAATAAGATAGATACATATCCTGCATTAGTTACAAAAAGATCACCCATATATGTAAAACCTTTCATTGATCTGATCACGGGAGCCTAAAATGCTACACAAAGATGCTAATATGGAAGCAGAGTAGCAGTACAAATATCCCCGCCGACCAGAAAACAGAGACATGACGATGAGAAGCGGCTTCGGAGGTGGCGTAGAAATAGTAGTAAGGATAAGGGTAATTGTTATTGTTAGGGTGCTGCCCTTGCCCTGACGACCCTTGATTAGAACTCGCCGGCGGCGGCGGCGGAGGATTATTCCCCCATACTGGATACAATGTCGGCGGCGGCGGCGGCGACTTTTTCGGCGACGGTGGCGGAGAGTGGTAGTAGGATGGTGGTGATGAAGACGACGACAGTGGCGGTGTTGGAGGAGGAGGAGGAGGCGACTCATCTTCATACACCGGAGGAGGAAGCGTCTTCGGTGGGGAGCGAGGTGACGGCGGAGACGGAGGTTGTGCGTGCTGGAAGGATGGCGGAGGAGAATTAGGAAGCGACGGAGAAGGCGGCGGCGAACAGATGACGGGACAAGTGGCACAGTCGCTGATGCAGAGCAACCCAGCTGGAACGAGCTCCGACGAGCTTGTAGTTACTACTACGCCACCATTAAGCATCATCAGGAGTATCACGATCGCTGCTAATTCCATCGTCTTTCTTAGGCGGGCAGAAATGGGTATCATCATCTCCATTGTAGCCGAAGCTGCAGTTAGTTTGCTTGTCGGGTTAGTGGTGAATTTATAGAGATCTATATACTAGCCAAAAGGCCTTTTTGCCAATGTGTTTTACAAGACAAAGGAAAGAAGATGTGCGTTTCTTGCCCCTATGGTATTGCTGTATAGTTAATTGTTGTCTTGCTTTCCATTGAAGAGGCCAATCATCCATTAAAGAATGGAGCTTCTCAAAACCCCACTACTGCATTTCCTTTCCCTCGAAGGAGATGATCAATCCAGAAATTTGGGGCTCGAGGGCATATAAACAAAGCTTGGAGACACTAGCTTAACTAGCTTGGTCCTTAAAATTGGGACTGGGTTTAGGAAACATTATTTCCTTCATATGGTGGGTGGGTGATCATATGTTTATTCCTTTCTTTTCTGACAAGTCCTCCTGAATCTTCTCATTGTCCTCAGTGCTTACTTGAGCAAAAAGATACCTGACTTTATTTGTCACTCTTCAAAACAGGAACAACTCTGCAAAAGGGTCGCCCCTGTTCTTATTTTGGCGGTAACGATCAGTCGATCATCTATGTTACACAGCTGGATACTTTTTAGAACTTACAGATATTACAACTCGCAGCAACTTACATGCAGAATCACAAACACCGTATTATCAGTTTCTACACCCTTTTCTGGACGGTAACCAGGTCTAGTGCAGACCCATAAGCCCTCAGTAACGCCTCGCCACACCAGCCATGGCCATCGTCCACTGTCGGCATCCTGACTTCCATGAACGGAGTGACTGGATGCTCATTACCAGGCATCATCACCCAAGCAAATACTCGCAACACATTTCCAGCATCGATGTCCATGCACACGATTATCTCCGGAACTCCTTTAGCTGCTGAGGGGATCCCGCCGATCTTGAAAAATCCCAAAAGTTGATTCTCTTCCACGGTCTTACCACCACCTTCATAGACAACAACCAGTGCTTCGGTTTGGTTATCGTGAGAAGTTGTGAACACTTGTTCCTTCCTTGCAGGCATGGTAGTGTTTTTCGGTATGATTGGGGAGAAAGTGTTCCCATCAGCTCTTATTCCCAAGGCAAGTGGGGTGGCTTGGATAGTTAACAGATCCAAACTTCCGAATGGATCGCTGATTCCTGAAGCAACTGCACCTTCTAGTGCTGCTCCACTCACCGCAGCCTCCAACGGATTCATTTCACTGTAGAGTTCCTCCCTTTTGCAAATTGCCTTAACAAGGTTCTGTATCTTTGGGATGTATGAACAGCCACCAACAAGTATAACGTCGCTCAAATCCTCAACATTCACCTTTGAGTCGTGCAAGCATTCTGTTATGAGGCTCTCACACTTTTCAAACACTTGTTTGTTGACTTCCTCAAATTCCTTCCTATCAAGAACCTTACAGATATTGTTCTCATTTCCCAAGTCAACATCCACCTGAACGCTGGTCTGAGAGCAAAGCTTGCGAATTGCGTCCTCGGTTGCAATCCGCAGCACTGCCATCGATTTGATATCATTGGTGGAATGGTTTGAGAAAAGCCTGTCAAGATCAGGGAAGAGATACCTCATCAAGTTCTGCAGCATGTCTTCTCCTCCAATAGCAGCTCCTGTTATTGCTTTGATCTGAGAAACTCCACCAGCAGTAGCAGTGACAGCCACATCACAGTAACCAGCACCGAGATTGAAAATCAGGGCATTCTTCTCACTCCCACTGCCCATATTCTCATGAACAATCTGTTGCTGCTGTTGTGCATACAGCAATGCAACAGCTGTTGGCTCAGGCATCAGTCGCAGAACATGAAGCCCTGCCATAGCACAAGCTCTCTCGATACGTGTCAACTGGAACCGACTAAAGGAAGCTGGAACCGTGAGCACAACATTTCTGATAGGCCTCTTCAATTGTAACTCTGCCATGGCTCTCAGCTCCACCAGAAATATAGCCAGGACTTCTTCAGGAGTTGTCGACCTCCAAGCATTGTTCACCAAGGCTGCAATGAGAGGACGAACACCTATTCCCAAAGTCTGGACTAGAAAAGGAAGAGACTTGCTGGCTGAAACAACAGGGTCGGTGTCCACTCTGCCTATGAGGCGTTTCATATTGAAGATTGCAGCTCCAGACAATACTTCACGCTCATGGAACAGGTGATTGCTGGTGACTCCTCCAGCAGAAGGGGTTTCATCCTTGAAGGTCACATATGATCGCATCAACTTCTGGTTCCTGGTGTTCTTGAGCACCTCAATCTGGGAACCGTTCCAAACTGCTATGCTGCATTGTGAGGTGCCAATGTCGATACCAATCGCACTCTCTGGAAAGGCGGAAGATGATTTCTCCTCTCCAGTATTTTCGCTGTCGGATGCCACAGTGTATTGGAGTTCAGCCATATCTGCATTTTAGCAAGGGTTTATTGTAAATGAGATCAAAGCACCTGTACAAAGAATACTAAGTCCATACAACACAGGAAGTATTATTACGATGTTCATTCCAGCAAACCTCACTAGAAAGTAATTTCAACTCCATAAATTCCTTAACATAAATGCAAGACTCATCGGGTCAAATATAATCAGTTAGGCCTTTCATCAAACACCTTACGAGCGTTAACCCGTCCCAACCCCCTTAACAGGCAACAAGCAGTAAAACCTTCAACCGTTTACCCAAACCAACATTAGAAACTACTAATCTTCAGAGAAAACAATCTGGGTACTAAGAAAATTCACTCAACCACACTCACGGAACGCGTTTCGTCATTCAATAACCCATCAAACAGTATCCTAACATACCAAAAGTCACAGCTCACGAGGGCAGAAACTTCAGCAGGGAAAGAAACAAAGACAAAGACACCCTCAACATCAGTAACATGATATCCATGACAATTCTTGAACTTGACCGTTACAAGTGGGCTAGATACTGAGTTCAGCAGGCGGGCAGAAACAGAGCACGGGGAACAAATTGAACAAAACAACACAGAAAGACAAACCGATCGAGCAAATTCTTACACTGATACGAAGAAGAAAAAGAACAAGAAGAAAGGTGAGGAGATTCAAACCTGGAAGGAGGGCGGAAATGCTGATTGCTGAGGGAGACGAGAACTGCTTGAGCTTGCAACTGAGTGAGGGAGAGAGAGAGATGTGGAGAAGTGGAGAAGGTGCGAGAAATGGGTTTGAGCAGAAGAGGGAGGAAGGGAGAAGAAATACGGAAAGGTGGCGCGGTTCCACCTTCGGTGAGTGAGTTCTAGAGCTCCCTAGACTTCCCCTTCCTGTAACAACTGGCACCTTTGACCTTCCTTTTCCGCCTTTCTTTTCTTCAACTGGTAAATTTTTTTCTAGTTGAGGGAATAAAATGAATGTGAGGTTAAATAAATAAATTTCTGGAAATAGCTTGCGAGGCCTTGACTGGAATAAAATAAACCGCTGTCCACTGCTCTACTGGATATGGGCCTTTTGCCTTACTCGTGTTATGTGTAGCCCTAGATGAGAGATGGCGACATGGGAGGCGGATAATATCCTACTAATTGAGCTCTCCGATTATGACAAAAGTCAACTCGCAAGAGAACATGCATTTTTCAACCCTCGCCGTTGACCTCGACCCATCCATAGACGTGGCATTCAGCTAGCTGACCCGTGGCTCTCGATCCGACAACGCCGTTTTTTGCTACAATAACGCATGCTGACCCTCCGTAGCGGGGTGCGGTACGGAGAAGAAGGCCATCGGAGTTCACCGCAGAGCACTAGATCGAGCGACTAGGAACAAAAGTGTGTCGGAGAAGCGATGAAGAGTGGTGGTCGCAGTCCAGCCAGGATACCGGGACGCCGAGATCGAGTACGAGATTATGGGTTAGCGCATATTGATGCTTCAATTGTATTAGGAGGGCTACAGCTATGTACAGAGCAACCGGTGAAAGGTAAAGGGAATGCAAATGACCTATGTGAATTGAGTGGCACACTATATGACTCAGTAGTTATGTTGAGTTGAAATGCTAGATTGAAAAAATCAACTTGGTATCCACTGTTAATTTTAGTGACGGAAAATATAACGATACAACTAAAAATTGAGTGATGTGGTTTAGTTGCAGCAAAAAAAATTTAAGTAGTCCGTATCCAACAAAAGTAATATTGCATTTAACCTTAAGATTTCATTAACTAAGGATCAAATGATAAAATCTCTTGTAGAGCCCGCAAATTTCTATTTGAGTCGGATCCAAATGACAGCCAGCAAGCTTTTTTGTTTGCTTATATGAAGTCATTTTCACCGGACAAAGATTCTAGACAAGCAATCACGACTGAGGTTAGTAAACGGAAGAACCCTCAAACAATAATGAGGGAAACAAATCAATTAAACAAACAAATTAATCAGTCAGGCCGGCAGAACAGATAGTTCAGCTGGTCGCCAAAATTTAACTATTTTACCCATTTAACACTAACACTAGTAGCTACAGAAGTACAGAGTGCTCTGTTTCCTGGAAAAGATTGCAAGCATCAATATTCATCATGTCGAAACTCCCTGCCTTCCTCTTCTACTTCCTCCTCACCATCTCCATTTCCCTCTCATCTCACCCACTCGACCCACTAACGCCGGACGAATTCACCGCCGTCCAGACCGCCGTTCGCGCACACTACTCCTCCAGCCACACCTCCATCGCCTTCCACTACATCGGCCTCAAGGACCCACCAAAATCCGCCGTCCTCACCTATCTCCACCGCCACCCCTCCGCCGTTCCTCCGCCGCGTCAAGCCTTCATCATCGCCCGGGTCAACCACTCAACCACCCACGAAATCACCGTCGACCTGACCAATCCCAACAACAAAATCTCCGACCAAGTCTACACGGGGCCCGGCTACCCGATTTTCACCACCAAGGAGCAGCTCGCCGCCACCGCGCTCGCCGTCGGCCACCCGCCGTTTCTCGAATCCGTACGGAAGAGGGGGCTCAAATTGGGGGAAATCATCTGCCAGTCGTATGGGATCGGGTGGTTCGGGGAGCAGGGGAAAGGGAGTAGGATCGTTAGGGTTATGTGCAATTATTTGGATGGGACGGTGAGTCTGTACATGCGGCCGGTGGAGGGAATCACCGTCACCGTGGATCTTGACCGGATGGAGATTATTGGGTATCGGGATCGGGCGATTGTGCCGGTTCCCAAGGCGGATGGGACTGATTTCAGAGGGTCGAAGCAGAGGCCTCCTTTTGGGCCGAGCGTTAATGACATCGATGTCGTCCAGCCCAACGGCCCAAGCTTCCAAATCGACGGGCATAGGATTCGGTAAGGTTTATTTACAAGTCAATTACAGCGGTTGTTGATGTTTTTTTTTCCTCCTGTTGTTTTTGGTAGTTGTTCTAGTTAATGTCGGTCACCTCCTTACCATTGCAATTATGGTGCTACAACAATGGATACTGGTCAGTCAGTCAACTGACAATGTCCCACATATCCAAATAGTGTAGCTCCCATTCGGTTAAAATGTCTAATATCATTCTTATAAGAATAGAATGGATAAATGGACCGGTAGAATTACTTAACAAGGTATAATAGTTGTTGGATTAATTTGATTGGATGGTTAGAGATTTGTCAAATGGTTTTTAACTCTTGACATGAAATTGGATTAACCAACCTGGCTTGACTGGTTAAACGACAAAATTGTTTTCGAAAAAGTAATTTAACATAAACTAACATCATTCAATGTCAATCACTAATTCTATGTATGCTTCCTTTTTATTAATTTCTAGTCTTATTGTCAGCTTTATGTAGTCCTGTTGGGGGTATTACCCAGCAGCTAGGAGTTTGGGCTCCCAAAGAAAGAGTTGGGGGGCAAGGCCCAAAAAGAAGGAATCCACTAGAGGCCCTTGGGCCCAGGCAAGAGAAAGGACCCAAAGAATAAAACACCAAAAGCCCAGTGGCGGCCAGCTGTCCGATGGACCACTGCCTGCGGGCGCCTGTCATGTGTCAGGAGCCTGGCAAAGCAGAGGGATGTCTGTCATGTGTCAGGAGCCTGACAAGGCAGTTAGTTGTCTCACAGAGGGGGCACAGAGCATTAAATGAGGATGATGACGTGGAGGAGATCAGCCTCGGGTTCGGTGAGTATAAATAGGGGCAGTCGATAGCATTTATGCAGGTTGGACTCTCTCTCACTAAAATACTACTTAAGAACACTGCCCTCTCCAAGATACTAACTTGGGCGTCGGAGGATTAACGGGCCGAGGCGCCCTCCTCTGTGTGTGTGTGTGTAGGTCGACGCTAGGCGAAGGGAGACGTCCGAATAGCGAGGGGGGTATAGTGGTTCAAACAATTGGCGCGCCAGGAAGGGGAATATAACCTGAAGTCATGAGTGAGGAAATGGAGGTGAGTGATGGAAGGGAAAGGGAGGAGGTCACGGAGGACCAGTCGGAACGATTAAGGGGGCTGGCGCCCGAGATGGAGGAGAGAGAGGAGAGTGATGACATGTTTCGAGGGTCGGAAGACGCCTCAATGACGAGGAGAGAGCTGTTCAGAATCATTGAGGACCAAGATGGAGCAATCGAGGCGCTCCGAAAGGAAGTTGACGCCCTAAAGAGAGGCGGAAGGATGACGCCAAGTCCGACGAAGAAAAGGGAAAGGGTGGCGGAGACGGAGAGTGAATCGGGATATCAGAGGCGCCCCAGTTTGTGGCGCCCACGCGAGTACGAGGGGCTAGAGACGGGAGGATGGAATGGAGGAATCTTGGGGCGCCTGTCTCGCCACGGACCTGTGAGACAGCCGTTGGCGCGTAACATACTAGCGGAGCCTGCAGGGACCAACATCCCCCCGCTCCCCACCTATGATAGGGTCACTGATCCGGATGACCACCTCAATGGTTATTTCACCAAGATGCAGCTTTACAACAGCACAGACGCCACCCTGTGCAAAGTGTTTCCGTCGACTTTCTCGGGCGTGGTGCTCGATTGGTATTATCAAATCGAAGAAGGGCGCATTGAGCAATTCGCGGAGATGTTTCTTGTAAAGTTTGTCAGCAGGAAACGGCGCACCCTAACTATAGGCGCCCTGTTCAAGATCAAGCAAAGAGAGGGAGAGGCGCTGAGGGAGTTTTATGAGAGGTGGTTATCCGTGGCTCTGGCAGTGAAGGATGTGCAGCCTTTGGTGTTGGGGGTGCGCCTGAACGAATGCACCACCAGCGAGGAATTGTGCAGATCGCTCGCAAAGAGAGACGTGGTGTGCACTGAGGACCTGGATCACCGGGTGCAAAAGGTAATTATGCTCGAAGAAACGTTGGCGGCTAGAAGGGCCGACCGACGAAGGGCGAAAGGAGAGGAGGCGGAGCCGACAAGGAGGCCGCACTTTGCAAGCGGTCCGGGGCATGCGCCAGCAAATCCCCCTCCTCCCAGGAGAATGGACGCCGGGCGTCCGGCACCCTGGGGACCCTTTGCAGAATATACAGACACGCTGAAGAACATACTCTAGCATGTCAAGGAGAAAGGGTACCATATCAGGTAGCCGGGCCCCATGAGAGGGCAGCCCAATGAGCGGAACCTGGATCGATATTGTGACTTCCACCGAGAAGTGGGACACCACACGGCCGACTGCTACCAATTGAAGACCGAGTTGCAAGGCTTGGCTGACAGGGGGATGCTCAACGACTTCGTCAAGAAGCCTGAAGAAAGAGTGCACCGGGCCTGCGTGGCCGGCGTAGAAAAAACAATGGAAAAGCTACCACCCCCGCCATACGACCTCGACCAAGAAAACGCGCCCGAACGGGTGCGCCTGACAATAGAGGCTATTTCGGGGACAGTGGACTTGAGAGAGAAGATAGAGGTGAATCGTCGCTTGAGGGCGGCGTCGGCGGAAGTCCAAGGGGCGATAGACATCAGTTTCAATAGGGCGCCCGAAGAAGCATGCATGCTCCCATCCATGGACGCCCTGGAGATACAAGGTGTGGTGGCGGGATGCCAGGTCAGGAGAATGCTCGTTGACACAGGGACTTCGATGGACGTGCTATTCAAGGACACGGTGGTCCGCATGCAACTATCGCCAGAACTGATCAGGCCCTCAGAATCGGTGTTAGTTGGCTTTTCAGGGGCGCCAGCCAAGGTAATAGGGCGGGTGCGCCTACCAGTTACCTTGGGGGATGGGGAGCAAAGGATGACACGCGCCATCGATTTTGGAATGTGGACTGCCCGTCACCATACAACGCGATTCTGGGAAGACCCCTCTTGGCCTTGTTTAATGGCGTGGCCTCCACTTGCCATCAGACGTTGAAGTTCATTGCGCCACAAGGAGTAGGTGTGGCACGGGGAAGGGGCGCCCCGCGTTACGCAAAGGAGATAGGACGGAAACGGAAGGGTAACGAAACAGTCAATATGGTGGAAATCTCGGCGGAAAAGGCGCCCCGAGCCGAAGCGGCCGACAAAGAATTTATGGTGGCGCTAGATGTGGAACGCCCGGAAAGACAAGTGAGGATATCGGCGGAGGCGCCCGACGAGGTGAAGGAGCGTATCATCGCTCTTCTGAGGGAGTTCGCAGAGCTTTTCGCCTGGAGCGCCTTGGAAATGTCGGGCGTCGCCCCCGAAACGGCCGTGCATCGACTGGCGGTAGAAGAAGGAAAACGCCCCGTGCAGCAGAAACGAAGAAATCTGTCGGCGGAAAAGGAGGCTGCACTCAGGATCGAAGTAGATAAACTCATGGGCGCCAACTTGGTTGAAGAAACATCTTATGTTACCTGGCTGTCAAACGTGGTCTTTGTGCCGAAGCCGTCAGGGGATTGGAGAATGTGTGTGGATTACACAAACCTGAACAGAGCGTGCCCGACGGACGCCTATCCGATGCCCCGCATAGACCAACTAGTGGACGCCACGGCATATCATGAGATGTTGAGTTTTGTGGACATGTTCTCAGGGTACCACCAGATTCCGATGGCAGAGGAAGACCGACCCAAGACAGCTTTCATGACACCTTTCGGAAACTTTTGCTATCGGGTCATGGCATTTGGCCTCAAAAATGCGGGCGCCACTTATCAGAGGATGGTCAACAGTGTCTTCCGTAAGCAAATCGGCCGAAACGTGGAAGCCTACGTGGATGACTTGATAGTCAAGAGCCGGAGACGCGAAGACCATCTGGAGGACTTGAGGGAAACGTTCCAAGCTATGCGGGCGCACAATCTCCGCCTCAATCCATTGAAGTGCGTGTTTGGTGCGGAAGCGGGCAAGTTCCTAGGATTCATGATTACCAAACGGGGCATCGAGGCCAATCCGAAGCAAGTGGACGCCGTTCTCCAATTGGCACCACCAAAGGCGCCCAAGGAGGTACAAGGTTTGGCGGGAAGATTAGCGGCCCTGGGGCGCTTCATCCCCCGGTCTGCAGACAAGGCGGCTCCGTTTTTCCGAACAATCAAAAAGGGAACACGTTTCCAATGGACGGCGGAATGCGATGAAGCGTTTGAAGAATTGAAGCGGCTCCTGGCCGCCCCAACGGTTATGACGGCGCCCAAGATGGGAGAGACATTGTACCTTTATATTGCTGTGTCAGAAGTATCGATAAGTGCAGTGATTGTCTCAAGAGAAGCCCACTCCGGAGAGGAAAAGCCGGTGTACTACGTCAGTCGGACCATGGTAGCTCATGAAAGACGATACGCACCCATCGAGAAGGCGGCGCTGGCAGTTGTGATGGCGGCAACCAAGCTAAGGCCGTACTTTCAGGCGCACACCATCGTGATACTCACCAATCTGCCGTTGAAATCTACGCTGGGATCGATGGACGTGGCTGGGCGCCTCGTCAAGTGGGCGGTTCAGTTGAGTGAGTTCGACATCAAATATGCGCCCCGACTGGCGATAAAAGCACAAGTCTTGGCCGACTTCATCGCAGAAGGAGTAGCAGAGTCAGAAAAGGGCACGAATGAATGTTGGCAAGTGCAAGTGGATGGAGCCGTCAGTCGTACGGGCGCAGGAGCGGGAATCGTGATGATAAGTCCAGGCGGTGCAATGCACGAAGTCGCGTTGCGATTCGCAAAGCTGAAAACGAACAACGCCGCCGAATATGAAGCAGTGATTGCTGGCATGAGCATGGTCAATGAGTTAGGCGCCCGAAAAGTACAGATCAGATCCGATTCAGCCCTGGTGATCAATCAGCTTAATGGGGTCTTTGAGGTTAAGGAGGAAGCACTAGAAGGGTACGTGCGAAGGGTGCGAGAGTTGGGGGCTTGGTTTGGGGAAATATCCTTCATACATGTCCCACGTGAAGAAAACGCCAATGTCGACGCCTTATCCAAACTGGCAACGGCAATAGACTTTGAGGAGGAG